TGAAAAAGTTATAAAGGATTAAAGTTTATATGAGTTCAAAAAATTGGCGTTTAATATAGAAAAAAAGAAAACATATACTGTAGATATTTTTAACCAATCAGAAACAATCACACAAAATTAGCCAATCAGAATAGCATCAAAAATTGGCGCCTCTATGTATAGATTGGATGTCTTTTACTGTCCCGTTCCTTTTTGGGTTTGTATTTACCCGCCAAAATAAGTAAATCGCGTACACGCCCAATTACTGATGCAGGTCACTAAAGTAGATATCATTAACCCTAAGATCTCATCAATAACGTAACCACCTCTATCGCAGATTTCACCCTTTTATAAACTTTTAGTTTGTAAGGTGCCAGGCTTAAACGACCCAATTATAGGAGTACAGTTAACTATCGTTACTTTCTCGGCGTAATTTCCAAATCCGGTGTTTGCTTTCGCGTTTTTTCCTTTATAACGACGCTATTTTTTTCATTCAAGATCTAGAGCTAGTATCAATGTTGATATCAAACAAAATTTTTTGCTAGTTTGTTTGAATGTTGATACAGTATCAACATTGATATAAATATTTTATATTCAGCACTGCATGACAACTGGTTTTATTTTGTAAAGGATTTAAGATCAGGCCAGGAGATTGAATTCCGAAGAAATTCAATTCCTTATGCTGAACTTAAATCTTTTGACCAAATAAATTTTATAAGGATATCAGCTAATGCAATTTATTCATAGCAGTCTACCGGATGACTATAATGAAATTGAGTTCAATATAAAATCTTTCCATTATGATTAATTCATATCAATTTATTAACAGAGCTCCCGATATAGATATCTTCATTTTATTTGGTTTTACGATTCATTGTTTTTATGTCGTTGTAGAGCAAACAGCCAAAATTAGTTGTAATGCAAAATTTTCTTCATGTTTTTTTAATCCGGGTAGACTTCACAAGCATTATAAAAAATGTAGGCTACTTATTATCAAGTATTATTAACGGTAATTTTTGGGTTATTTCTACGTATCAAATGCTATTCCCGTGAATTTTGGGTTGTTACTAATTACCAATTAAGATACTAACACCATATGTTGAAACAACTTTTTATATTCGTTGAAAAGTTATTCTATAAGCGTTAATTCACGTTTTCTATCCTTAGCATAAATGTCTTTGTATTTATTCCAAATTTCGTACAATCTCTCAATGTATTTTCTCTGTACTTCAAGTACCTCCTCCTCCGTAGGGTTATCATTTTTTACAACATCAATAGGTTTTCCCACTATTCAGAAGAAAGGGTTAATATTATTGCTCACTATGACAAAATGGCCAAACTTAAACATACCAACTGTAGTGATAGGTCTTCTATGAGGTAACATACCCCAATCATCTAGAAACAAAAATTAATATCTAATTTATAATAAGGAAATCAATACTCATAAAGTCGTTCAAATAACTTTCAATAGCTTACAATTGAATATACCACGACCATGAAATAGTGGCAATGTCCAACCAGAAGTGTTTTGCAAAAATTTTTGGAATTTCCAAACTTTGCTTCCTTCAGGATTTTCAGCTTGATCCCATATATCATTTTCACCAAACGAAAACACAGGGCACAATGACGCACTATTTTGAAAAGATATTGGTTTATACTCTAGCGAGAAAAGTTTTACGGTATTATAACTAGAAATGATGAATGGTATTTCACAGTTCTCACCCGCTCTTAATGGCTATTTTAAGAAAACCCAACCTCCTTTTTAAAATCAGATCATTAATACCAGGACGTGCACTTAAACTCTCGCCAGCGCCACCGATAACAATCATAATAGAGTGTCCGGGACCCTTGCGCAAAATGTTCATACAAGACTGACGGGACACCGAAGCGAGACCTTGAGCCATAAGATAATCTCGATAAAGTGGTATATTGAAATTGGATGTAAGTGTCAACATACGGCATGTAATACCAGGAAACAGTTTAGAAAAACCAGTCGCTTCTGTAGAAAAGGTTATCCAACCACCAACAGAGATAACGCCATGGGGATGATAGCCTATTAAGATGTCAAAAATAATGAATTTTAAGTAGTGTTGTTAATGGAGTAGTATGCCCCGAAGTGAATTTTAAATTTGAAGCAACCCAGAGCAGAGCTAGAGCAACCCAGTATAGAATCTGGTTTATAGCTTTTCTCATAAATTCTGAGACAAATTAAAAAAATTTGCCCGTTACCCAAAATCTTTTCGGGTTCTTCCTGTAAATCACCTAGATATCCAGAAACTACATCACTATCTTCGATCATTCAGTTCGAAGACAGCGATGTAGTTCCGGAGAGTTACTGTAGAGCATTGATCAAAAGATCTCCCTTTTTAATCCTCATGCAAAATACCCTGGCACAAAACACGAGATCTCTATTAATTAAATATGAGGTTTTTTAAGTTTCTAGACTGCTTATCGTAAACGCGGAATATGTTGCACTTGGCACTTAAAATTTTCTTCCTTGCGACACAGCCCGCAACAACATAATATACCCGGGTCTTTTGTAAATTTTTTTGTGGGTATTTTGTATTAGACCCCGGGTCTTTAGCCAGTGCTCTACGTAGGTAATTTACAGGGCGAAACCGAAAGATTTTGGGTAATGAGCAAATTTTTAATTTTTTCCAGAATGAAAACATCTGTAATAGAGGGTTACGTCTCATCTTCCCGAAAGCTATTCCCCGAAAAGTCATTGACTCGACATCACTCGGAGTGACAATTTACTAGCAATATATACCTACAGCTAATAAAATGTTAAATTATCACGCCCGTGATGTAGAGTAGGTGATCCATTAGAGAAATAATCCCTAAAAAAATTTTTCGAAAAACGTATCCCGACTTCCTCTAGACTATCGTTCCGGAAAATGTTCATTTTTCCAGAACAAAACATACAAATTCCTGGTCATTACAATAGAATCCCGTGTAAAAATTAAATTCTCGGCTTCTAATTATAAGGTTAGAAGCCGAATATTATCTTACTAGGACTTGATTTTTACCCGGAATTTATCAGGATTCTATGGAAATGACCAGGAATTTGTATATGTTTTGTTCCGGGAAAAATGAGCATTTCCGGAACGATAGTCGGGATACGTTTTTCGGAAATTTTTATAGGGAATTTTTGAGGAAATGAACGTATACTTAATAGTTGAAGATTGAATCAAACCAACAGTCCAACCTAACCATCACAGATCCAAAACATGTATGTAGGGCACCCGATAACTAATTATTGACGCCAAAAATCTGATCTATATTGGTAGCATATCAAAAAATATCAGAAGCATATCAAATATTGGGATACCCAATATTTATTTTTCACCTGATATGCTTCTGATATATTGCAAATATGGAACAGATTCTTGGCGCCGGTAGTTAGCTATCGAGTATCCTATATACATACTTTGGACCTGTGCATTAATAATCCCATATTTAAGATACTTACCGAATAAATAATTCTTTGACGGATCCAAATCAACTTCCTATAAAATTTCAAGGCAATATACGCTAGATTGATATTATTTGCATGAATTAAATATTCAAAGAAATTAAAAAAATATTACCTTTATCAATTTAGCAGGGAAATAGTCGGAGTACCATTTCCAAAAGTTAGATCTTCTAGCGAATTCAAATCTTCGGCCCCCATTTTCCGGGGCAATATCAAAAAGCACAAATAACAAATATGGAATAATAAAGGGCCATAGGAAAATTATTGTACAGGATACAAAGAAAATAAATATTGTTAAAGGTAATGAAATGAGCCAAAGGGCAGCAACCGCTGTTTGGCGTCGTCTATCAAATGGCACGCTCAAAGGAGCTAATCGAATTTTGGGTTTTTTTGGCATTATTACACTCGTCGAGTTTTTATTTAAGGTTTTTTATATATATATTTTTCGTGATTTTTATTGATCATCAAATCAAATGATTTTCACGCGCTTTCGACTGTAATATAAGATCGATATTGAATACAGGTTCCAATTTATTTGGATATAATTTTTTTTTCAACAAATAGATTTTTATTGATTTATATGTTTGACATAACGATAACAGTAAATTTGTAAATGATATATGAAAGTTGTAGAGTGAAAGCCTGTAATTGTATTTAACGATTTACTATGATCAGCTACAGGTTTTCACTCTGCACCACTCATATAACAGTATTATATAATGGATAATCTACTGTATCGGTAGAACATTAAATTATTAATAACTGATAATTATTTATATTTATATACGTATATAAAATGATCTGACAATAAGAACAGCCTATCAAAATCCAGAATTTGCTAACGGACGGACATCAGACACACTAACTAGCCTTATGTTAACGTTAAAGTTTGAATGATATGTCGTATTCCGAATTGGAATCCATCCGATTCGGAATGATTCTGTATAGTCTTAGGATTCTCAAGAAAGTTATCCGGTTAAAGAATTAGTAAGGTTAAATTAGAGTTAGTTTATTTTTATATTCCACGGCCTCAATGTTCACCCGTGAACATTCTGATGTTATTTTTATGATGACGTAATGCCGTGAAATATTCCACGGGCATTACGTCATCATTAAAAATTTTAAGAAATGTTACGGGCATAAATATATCAGATATTCAACGGTGTGCCATGACATCATGTATTAGCACGGCTTCGCCGTGCTAATACATGATATTCACAGCAGCCCGTGGAATATCTATTACATATATCATAAAACCGGATAACCCACTTAAAATCCAAAGCCGGGCAACCCGATTTTTGAACAGAACAACCGAATTCCAAATCAGGAGTCCGTTAAATGCGGCGTAAATTCAGTATATCGATCTACAGTACATATTGTATTTTTGATATCTATGTACGCAGCGCAGGACTTACATTTCATGTAATTTTGCGTAAGTTTCAGTAACATAGATTACATGTAAATTTCACACGTGATATAAAGTACCAACATTATGAATAGCATAATCGAACTACAATAAACTTTGCATAAAGTTTACTTATCAAAATCGATGACATATGGGACCGTTGCAGTACGTAGAAAGGGCCCCAAACTCCCCGAATTGGAAATTTAAAAAAATTTTTTAGAAAATTCGTACATCACGAAATTATCCGATATAACTAACCAATCAAATTACAGAATTTTTGATTGACCCGGACCAGTCCGACCATATGATCAACTAATCACATGAAATCATATGATTATATGATCACATTTCTTATAAATTACATGAAAAGTACTTTATCGAAACTTACGCAAGATTACGAAAAATTACGTAAAATTACGGTAATTTTACAACTCTAACGTAGCGGTAGCCCTAATTTCATCAAAGAAGTAACCCTAAACACATCAGAAATTTACCCCGCTTTGCGATCTCATATCCTATAATTCTTACTAATCAGCTTAAGACGATCTCGAAAAAACAACCAATAAAAAATTGACATTTAAGTAAATACGTAACAAAAATTGTGTGAATAATATGGAATAAAAGCAGTTCGTGTGAGATCATTTGGGCTAGGTGCTGAGAAAAGGGACGAAATTGACAAAAAAAAAGATCGGAAAATACAATTTTTATGTTATATAAATCTTACAATAAATCATAAGAAAATGCAAACTTTAAAGAGCTATACTGCCAAATTTTATTAATACAACTACTTTTATGTCAAATGAATTAATCTTATTCTAAATTGATTTATGCAAAAAAAAATCTTTTAAAAAAATTGACAATTTCGTCTCTTTTCTCAGCACCTAGCCCATTTGTGCCTGATTATAAAAATCTCAGCTTTTAATATTATACCTAAATTTTAGGATTAATTATTTATATTATATATATATGTGCTATTGTCTTCGAGAGAGAAGCCCCAGATTTGTAAATAAATATAATGAAGATTGGTGTTGCTTTAAATGAATGTCCAGAATAAACCAAATTTGATTGGTCAATTTTGATTCATGTGAATGATAATCTATTTATTTTGCTTTTACTGTAAGCACGGATATATACAGTATATAAACATGCCAGTCAGCTAGTTTATTAAAAATTTTTAATTCTTTTTTAGAAGGTTCGCATAACTTATCCTGTCATGAAAAGTAGAAAACGTACTAACAGTCACACGATATGTCACATGTAAAAATTTCAATTATGGGTCAAATGATTGACGCACCTAAATTTATATGTAAAATTTGGTGTTTTCTGCTTATTTAGCAAAAAGTAGCTGTCGGTTTAGTTTCTGCGCTTGATTTTGCAAATTCTCTAGCATTTGATGGTCCTTCTTTTAAAATTTTGAAGGTAGTTTAGAATAAAATTACAATTAATCAAGGCCACGAAGTTTGCCAATTT